TTTCTGAAAGGATCTGACAGTAGACTTACTTTGTCTCGGATCATTTGCCACACCACGTAGTTAGAGAGTAACCTGAAAGTCATCATCATACAGCAATTCTGGTAATTAATTTTACCATGTTATGACGGCTGCAATCAGACGGATAGATCAATAAGTGCCAGATAGGCGAAGAGTTGGATGGACAGACGGACAGATGGATGGATGTCATGGACAGATGGAGGAGGAGGATGGAGGAGGAGGATGGAGGAGGAGGATGGAGGAGGAGAGAGACAGATGAGGTCTAGACATTTTGGCAGAGTATCTAATGAAAAATTTAAGTCAACAAACTACTTGAATAACTTATTACCCTGATTTAACTGTGAAGTACCGTTGTCTCGCAGCAAGGAGATCTGAAGCTTTCTGTTCTATGGGGCTTCGACTACGTTCTCGGGTACTTATCGCAGTTTTAATACGGCTTAGTGACGTCTCATAAATCTTAACCTTTTAACAGCGCAATTCTTAAAGCCTGGTAATGATTATCTCTAAAAATGGGTAATATGCACTTCATTTCAGTGAGAAGTGCTTTTCTTTTTTTTTCCGCATTAATTTTTCGCGGGAATAATATAAAAATAGATTTAAGTGTTCAACGATCTTATTCACTTCAGAACACTTCGCCTGTTAACCTCACATAAAAATTTTGTCTCGCCGTTGCCGATATTGGACGTCCTGAAACTATGCAAAAGATTTTTTATTTTCTCGTGAAATGCCCATCGTATTGTCCTAAAAGCGTAAAAAGTTCGTTTTATTCTCCTTAAATCACGATCAAGCTCCCCTTTCCTTTTCAACCTCTCTGTCAGAAGGTCTCTTACAAGGAACTCACTCTTTAGAGGTGTTCTTCAAAAGTGTTGCCATTTTCCGAAGATATGATGTTGAAGTGGTCAACACAATATCTGCCTCAGTCACATTTGCTCCTTTAAATATGGCCTGCATATGATCTAACCAAGGAAACTACAAAAAATGGAAGGAAAAATTATATGAAAATGATACACTTCTTTATTGTGTATGTCAATGTACACTAAAATGGAAATAACGCTAACGTCTGTCTCGTGATCTACACTTCTGTAGTGTGTAAGGATGTATATTGATTGTATGCTTTTAGAAAGGAGCGTTACATTTTGTAACTCCGACGAAACTAAATTAATCAAAATAAATTTTTGATTATTTCTATGTAGAAATCGGACAAGATTTGAGAGATCGTCAACAGCTCTCACGCAGGGGATCTCTATCTTCGTGAGGACTGCACTAAATTAAATTCGGTGTTAAACAACAGATCAGGTCCAACAAACGATCATCGAGAGCATAGTATTTTTTGACGTACAATCCCTTTTCACACACATGCACTCATCTCAACGCCTTTGTACACGCCACAGAATCAACACATGGAAGATCACGAAAAACCAATTAGGAGAGTGGTACAGCATTGATCCACTTCTTCAAAACGATAAGGATTGAAATTCGTAAATAAAAACTGCCTAAAATTTACCAATCACAGCGATGCAATATGGAACCTAACCTATCGCCAGTTGAAGGCCAACCCTTTGCGCAGGAAGCCTTGCGATTCTCATCAGAAGTCACCACGTCATACGATAAAATATAACACTTAATCAGAAATTTAAAAAATGGCAAATTTTTTTAAGGAGAGAATTCATGTAATTATGTTTCTTGTTTGCGTTGAGTGGTGAAGTATGCAATTTCAAATCTACAATATCTTTGGAGAGTATACGGAAATAACAAAGTTCAATTCTCTGTCAGCAGATGGTTACTACTACAGGGGGGGGTTGGCTTTGACTAAATAGGGTTATCTTTTTTCAGTTTATCTGCTTAGTTAATGGGGAAGTAAGTTTTCATACCTGTGGAACGATTTGAATGAGGCTGTGGAGGTTCATTCTCCTGTAAATTCCTTCAGCTTTGTCTTCAGCTGACGTTGTGAACTTGATAAGTAACAATAATATTTTGAGTGCATTAAGTGTCAATTAAACAAGAAAAGATCACCATTTATTCTTTTTTTTTCTTTCATTGAAGTAATGTTAATTCACTAGGCTAATCGATTTGAAATTTATGTTAACACTCACCCTAGCCAGTTTTGTTTCAAAATCCATGATTTGACGCATTTTTTCGGTTGTGTTACATTTTGTTCCAAGGAGAGAGGCAACTGTTGCCATATATTCTACATAAATGTCCACCATCTACAAAGAAACATCACTCTATTTGACCACGAGTATTTCTAGCAACAATTTAAAAAAAAGGAGCGGGCAAGAAATGGTCATTACCTTCTACCGTTTAAGTCAGAATGTCTCACCTCAGGATGTTTAAAGTAAATCTCCCGTTGAAGACTCAGACCTGACTGATCAATCTAAATAAGTAAATAATAGTATTTGCTCAGAGACTGGACGACTTTCCCTTTAAATATAAAATACCACTATCACTGACAGAGAATAACGCTTAATTTACCACAGGATAAGATAGTTTTTAATTTATGTTTCGACCAAAGTTTCCTCGGAACTCATTTTCAAGGAATAAACCCTTACAGGTAGGGTGGGGATATATACCCGAGGCTAAATTATTGCCTTAAACCAAATAAAAAGACGTGAAGCGAAAGACATAATGAAAAAATAAATATTAAAGAACTGTTCTTTATCGTAAATTCAAATGTGTCTCGAAATCTTCTTAGTGAAAGTCGTGTACTGATTTCTTCTTCGAATAATCAGAGGACTTTTTTCCAACAAAAAAAGAATGATTTATGTTTTCCAGAAACGTTAAGCAGTTCTAAGACAAGTTTTCCTCAAGTAAAAAAAATCGTCTGACGCCTTCTGACACCCACTAGAAAGCATTTTTACGCCGCTAAGGGGGAGTGTAATAAGCATGGTAAGTGGAACAGACGGATAAGACGGTACACCTGCTGGACTGTACCTCAAGTAAGATCGTTGTCAGTGAGCGAGAGTGGTGACTCTTTCCCATAAAATATCAATCGTACAAGATCATTTTGGTCCTAACTCATTGGTTCCTATAATTGGAGTTTGATCTTTGTCTATTCCGATTTCCGTCACACTTACCTTTATCAAATGCTTGGTGGAGTTAAGATGATCATTTGTGACCTCTACCGAGAAGAAAGGCGATGCAGGATAATATGTACTCTGTACATTCTGTAATACTCTGTAAATATCCCACGAAGACTTTTTCCAACTACCATTATGGCAGATGCTCCACGAGCCTATCTCTTGAATAAAATCAAGCATTGGTAATGGACCGAGCTTTTCAATTTGATTAACGTCCATGCATGAGTGATACAAGTCTCTCGTTTTCGTCAGAGCCTCGTTATGAGGAATGTCATGCAACATTTTTGACGTTTGGAGAAGGCCACGAATTTCACCCTCTATAACTTTAGATAGCTTGGTAAATGTGGAGTAATCATTATAACTTTTGGGAATTGGATTCCGTCGGATCCATCCACCACAAGAAAACGTAAAAAAGTCATCACATGGATCAACCGTCGAATCGATGGAACTTTTTATGTAATCGGCGACTGCGTGACACTCATGAGTTTGGCATACATTTTTGCTTGTAGTCTCATTGTGAACGTCTGAGAACAAGTAAACGGCGCGTTCCCGTCCTTGAACCGAACCAAGATTCTGATGAATATGGCGTGTGGTGACAAAGACCAGTAGACCTATGGTACTTACAACGAGAAAAGCTGATATAATGAAGGTGTTCTTCCTTGTCATGATTCCGTGTTTTAAAGAGTCCGCTTAGTTGTATTAACTTTCCCTCTAAACTTTCGTTTGACGATAGTTGTTTTTGTTATTAAATCAAGGCTCAAGAGACATTCGTTTGATGAAACCACTTACTGACGCAAGACAAAAATCGTTATATATGAAGTGGTGTTGCGGAAACTGTTGGATGACACCTGTTGATCCCAAAATACCTGCCATTCTATTTGTTTTATAGTCTTCAGTCAACCACCTGTTTACAACAATCAAGTTTAGTAATTGATCCATAAAAAATTGTATGAGTGCATGCAATGTAACCAGACGAGGGTCACGGAGCGAATTAACTTTGCAACACACAACACGAAATAGCACAATGAAACAGTTAGTCATCCTTATCTAGGGCTTGTGTCACGAGTTATTTCTTAAGTTCCAACCGAGGTAGCCCTTTTATTCAAAAACACATCATCTGTCATCATCTTCGGCCGACGTTCTAGTGAACAAGCAACAAAATCCAAGATGAAATACATCATCCTTTAAATGCAATGCAGAGAGCCTCTGCATTGAGAAATTCGAGACGTATTCAAAGCCACTGACCAACAAAATCGTAAATACGAATTCTCAAAATTCAAACTTTTCGCCATATTTTCCCAACTGTGAATTTCTTTCAGTATCCGCATGGTAATATAGTTACTAGAACTCTCCCGAAGGAAAAGGGAGCTCCTAATCTCAATTCCCTTTTGATCTTTTTAAAATACTTCCGTTAAGACATTGCACTATAATTCACGTAATGTCCATTTAAGTATAGCGATAATTTAGCGACTACTTCCAAACACTGAAAACCAACGGGGGAATATCCTCGGAATTGCCGTTTTGTAGTGAGAATATTGTTTATTGGAGCATTCGCACTTGCTTGTGAAGCTGTCCTGATCGACTTATGTCAGTCCTTCGCCTGTGGGGTACAAGGCTAAGCAAGTTACTTTTGGAATAAGTCGAGGTTTCCGACTTTGTGTTTTCTGTTTGATTTTGATTTTGATTTCTCATCACAAGCTCTTATTCTTTGGTGTTGCACGAAAAACCGGTCTCCGCTTTTTCCTTCAAATTCGAGTTCGACGGGTGACTTAAACTTACTATGATTGTCTATTGTCTATTATATATTATATTTTAGAAATGATACAGTTTTGAAAGAAAACCCTGCGTAAGGTTTCGAAAATTGTCCGTTTACGATGGAGGCAAATGAAATCTAGGAAAACATCATTCCAATGCAAAAGTTTGCAGTTTAACTTTATTGGTTTTAAGAGACTGACAAATATCGATGCTGGGCGCTGGCAGAGGTTCGATTAAGAATTTTAAAAGAACACATCGCGTGAGGTAAGTGCGAACGCGTACCGGGAAGTCAAATTTAACCACGCGATACCCCACACTAACCAGGAAGCTCTGAATCATTACACGTACACGCTTTGGTTCACAATAATTCTTGTAATCTTACGGATCCAGAGCCTTAATGACAGATCTCGATGTACAAGGTATTTTTTTAGGTAGCATTCATCACGGCAATTAAACTTATGAAATATGAGAGAGGCGAACGATACCTTTGTCCCCTATGTCGGTAAAGAAGCTACGTCAAGGTTTGTGCTTCTTACCTTAAGGTTTTCAAATAAGGCGTTTTCAATCTGTTTAGATCTAAGCCATCCCAACCCATCCTCGCATCTCTCGAGTTTATCCTCATCTCTTAGGTGTTACTCTATTCAAGCGAAGTTAAATTTTCAGTTTTCCTTCTTCCGAAAGATCATTCCGCACGACGTGGTAAATGATTTAATAAATAGTGACTAAGTTTCTGTCATTATAATATTATCCCCTCTAAAGGCTTTGCAGAGTATTCACCACATGTCTTAGGAAAAAAAGCACTCTGCATGATCTTGAACGTATCTCAGATTCTGAAGAAACATCAAGCCTCTGTAACTCGTTTGCACCTTGATTAGGAGACGATTCTGCCTCAGCATGTTCTTGAACTTTAGACATGTAAGCACTTGCTGATGTTAAGGACAACTCCTTGTTGTGGGTAAGAATCATGGCTATGTTACGTAGGACACGATCACCAAGTTCATTTGGTAACGGCTGCAACTGGAGAAATACAATTTGAATTGTTCGTGTTAAACAGAGATCACGTGAATCTCTAATTGACTTAAATTTTACCGTCTTACACTCCATGTAACACTACTAATAGGAATACAAGCATCCAATCGACTGCAAGCAGATTTTAGTAGGACAAATACGTAATCCAAAGTTTTATACTAAATTAGGTGGAGCACTATTTCCTCAGCTATTCTTTCATCAAAATTTAACACATTATAATCGAACATTAATCAGCTAAGCACCACAGTAGCACGGATAAAAAATTTAAAAGGTAAGCCCACGTCGCCAACATAAAACAGTAATAAATTGCTAGGTAGATTTTCACTCGGGGGTTTTTCTCTCGATACAGATCTGTTCTTCTACGTTAGAAACGCCACTGTTCTTCACAACTGTAGGTATAATTCGAAATATTACGAAAAAATTAAAAAAAAAAAAAGGACAACAGCAAAAAAATAGGAATGCGGAGTTCTTAATTGTTGCCTAGGACAAGGTTTCTCCTCTTTGTTAGCAGATTGCTTCAGTTGACTCACAATTAATCTTTTGGGAACAGAGCAAGCCTATTTTTCATCTTTGGTTATCATCATTTTTTTTCATAATTTTTTTTCTGTTTTTAACAGATGTTGAGACATGTAGTTGATCTCATCAGTGTATTAAGCCTTGCAGCTAGTGCTGGAACGCGAAAAATTGCACAGATGCGCATATTTTACGTGCTCCTACCTCCTCAATTTTTTTTTTTTTTTCAATTTACAGATTACTTTATCTCGATAAGTAAATTGTATTCACAAATGATAACCTGAGTTACCGAACAGCAGTTTTCCAGTTACGAGTGCTTTTAGGGAAAATGCTCTGTGTTTTTTTGACAGGTTCTAGTTACGATCCATGATAAGAGCACTGTTAATAACCATTGGGGGTAACCTTTGGTAACTTTTCATCCTACCTTACACATGGTAGTAACGAGGCATTCTAAAGTGTCTCTTGTACCCTAAAAAAGAAACAAAGCATACAATAATAATAACACAAGAAAACAAGAACATCACTAAAAGTGCTAAAAACTAGCAATGCCAACAAAAACCGCTCAGCAGGCCTCTTGACTCCGTATTTGCAGATTCTCTTAACCTCTAGAAGATTGCCTTTTATTGTATTCAAGGTTCTACTGAGGAGGCTACACTGCTGATTCTTCCTTGGGGACCTGTTAATGTAACTGTGACAAAAGGAAGTGAACTCTTCTTGCTACCATTCCCTGGAATCTGATTGATAATTTGGGACTACATCACAGGGCATTCCGAACTCAGAGTAAGGTTTTTTGTTGTTGCGTTAACCGTCTCTGAATTGAAGCGAGTCTTGTGTATGAACAATTTTCGAAAGTTAGATTGCTCTTTGGAATCTTGGAAGGCGGTGAGTGGTTAACTTTTATGTACACTTTTCGTTGGCGTTCGTGGAAATAAATGGTCAATTATGGTTTTTAGAACAAAAATCTCTTTTACGTCTGTCAAAATGGAACATGCGGGAGTCAAAGTAAATGAGGCCTGATGACTTTTCTCTTACTCGGTCAAGTTTCTTCACTACTCCTATGGGATCATCATATTGTTCCAGTAGTGACACCTCTTTCTCGCCCAGGACTGGTTCCTGTAAGAAAATACTGGGTAAGTCACATGCATTGCTATAACAAAGAAAATTAAAACATATGACCCCTTTAATAGATAAAAACATTTTTTTTTTATTCAATAGATACCAATTCAACTGGCTGATCACAACGGACCATAATTTAACATTGCGCTTTTTAAACAAGACTTTATGGGATAAACAAGGATTCGTAGAAATACTCACCACCAAACTACCTAACCAGGCCCATAAAAGACGAGTTAGAACCCACGGATCACTTTCAGTAAGAACTTCTTCCCAACAATCGAAGCTGTTAAGTTTCCTCTACATTAGAAAGTCAAGAAATATTAATGTATCACTAACAGGAATCCCGTAACGCATGTTTTCCACTGTAGTTGTTTCTATTAATGATGATATCAGTGATAATGATGATGATAACAGCAATAATGATAGTGTACATAGTAATAATCATATTAATAGTAATAACAGTAATGATGAGATTTCTAAATAATAATTATAACACCTATCAGCTCGTCGTGTTGTCGTAAATGTCCCCTTTTCCTTTACTTAAGACAACCAATAGATTTCTAGATATGAATTGGCTTCATCATTGTCTGTTGCAAACTTTAGGGAGACTGGAGTAATTCTTTGATAAGAGAATAACAATGAAGAAAAGTAAAATGGTTTCCGTGTTTACATAGCCTGATGTAAACACGCGGGAGGTTGGGAGAATACGAGATAAGCGTAGGAAACCACGACGCGAAGCGGAGTGGTTTCCAGCTTATCGAGTGGTTCTCCCAACCTCCCGCGTGTTTACATCAGGCTATGTAAACACGGAAACCATTTTACATTTCTTTTATAAAATAACTAATGAAAGAGGAACGAAAACCGTGTTTACATACGCTCATGTAAAATGGTTTTATGGCTAATCAGAGCGCACGCACTATTTGAATTATTTCATAAAAAATTATAACGAGGCAATTTTTATTATTCACCTTGAGGAACACTGCGGGAAATAACTCCCGCGAAACGCGTTCTTATTCTCGTTCACTACGATCATTTCTTTGAATTTAATGATGTATCTGTAATTTCTATCTTGTTTCGAAATTACTACTACTTTAAAAAAAAGGATCGCTTTCAAAATCCTTCAGCGAAGAAGTCTTACCCCGTATATTTTTTGTGCAGGTAAAGTTGTAGTGACACATTACAAACCCCCAAAAATGTATGTTTCCCCTTAGAACTGTGGAGTGATAGTTTAAAGATGCATTCCGACGAATGGTCAATGGGACAAATTTCAATCGCGTTACTTCTCAGCTTCTCACACAGATTTCGGAGGAACATCATTTCTCCAACACTTCATTATTTCAACGATGCTTTTTTAGCAGACGTTACTCCGTCACTATGACTATAATCCTAATTGCAGGTAACCTTAATAAATATGGACTTATGTACCTTAATTCTCTCTGTTCGACTATGAACAGCACTATCAACACAGGCACTAGATGCCATAGACTTTGCCACTTGTATTCTGTCTGTTTCTGATATAGGCGTCGCACTTTCCTTCAATGAATTACGATCACTGTTGACTTCTGGTCCACCTCTATCGTTATCGGTGGCTTCGAGGCTTTGACTGGGCCTTATTCGTTTTCCTTTCTTGTTTTTTTGTCTTTTTGGCACATTTAGTGGCTCTAATTGCACACGATTGGGTCTTCCTTCACCTGGAAGAACTACAGTTAGTTCTGAACCACGTCTACTCGGGTTTGTTACATCTGAATGTCTCAACGTTTTTCCTTCCCCGTTACTAAAAGTATCATCTACAAATGCATCACAACTCTCTGCACGATAGATGCAAGAACCCTCAAATAAAGGAAGACTGGAATCTACGTAAGGGTTATGCCTCAATGAGTCAGCTACATCACTAGAAAGTGAACCTTCAATGGTCTCTCTGTCAAGGTCCCTATTGGTGAAACTATCATCCACTTCAGAAGAAACGGCTTTAGCGTCCTGTGAGAATTTCCAGGTTAGGGGAGCGTCTTCTTTTTTAACCCCTGCCAACTCTAGCAGTCGCCTGCAGCAAATGTACACCACCTTGCAAAAAAATAAAATATATACAAATAACTACATTTCGCTATTTGTGTGATTGCTCTAATTGTATTAAAATTTGAATGAGGTCCAACAATAGAATGGGTTTAAATATCCGTAAATAAAAAAAAAAACAAGGTAAAATACTAAAAGCTTACCAATGAAACATCAACCTTTATTTCAGTGTAATTAGCCTTGATCAGAAGAATATAAACTCGAAGAGTTTTAATTCCCCTTGACAACGTTTAACTACAAACTGAGTTTAGCTAGCCCACCAATTTCAAGGAACGTTCAAAGTAAATGGCTCCAAATCAGGAAGAAAATGCTTATTGGCTAATCTAGTGTACCGACTGACTCAAGTTTTGCAACATACCCAATGCTTAGAGGTAATATGTTTGTGAGTTGAGAAGCCTTACGTGTACATTTCTAACCTTTGGAACATGTTTAAGGACTCTATCCTCCTCACCATGCAAAACCAGTCTCTGACGTTTGAGGTATTGTTGTAATGTAAATGGCTTTGCACTGGGAGCACTAGAAGAAAAAATTACGAGCAACCATATTTACACTGGGAGTCCTCCTGAGGTGGTTTAACTTTTACCTTGTGCTATTTATTTGCAACATATTTTGACGCGGATTGACGATAAAAAGCTTGTTCATTTGTTCCCTGAGAGTACTTACAGCCCCATTTTGTTTCTGATTGTTTCTAGTGACTCTCATTCTTCAAGGAAAAAAAAACTTTGCAAAAAGTGGAATCGTAACAATGAAATGAATTTAAGCAACAAAAACAACAACAATGATGATGAACATCATGATTATGGTCAAATAAACGATAACAATTACAACAATAACCACCATAACCAATAAGGAAAGCGTTTTGAGCTTCCTAAACAAAGGAAGGCCGGGTAAAAGAGGAAAGCAGATGTTGCTTAGTACACTTCCGTTCTAGCAAGAAATAAGGAGTGCTGTATTTCAAATCCATTAATAATCTCCACTGCACACCTTACGTTACTACACTGTTGAACAAAAAGTGCCATGCACTCTTCAGATCAAACCAAATTTATAATTATTTTGAGTTAACGTACCAGCATGGAAAGACCACCCAAAGATGGTTTAGGAAGTTCGTAAAATCAATAACACACTGTATCTGGCCTCGTGTCTGCACAGCTTTGGGTCTACATAATAAGTATAGCATGAAATTTATAAGATAACATCGCGGAAAGAGGAAGCTCTGTTTGTAGGGACGGCAAACCTTCATCCGGGTCTCATTTGAACTTCACTCAACCACTTGTGATGAAATTAGTGATAAATGATGCTTCTTAGAAAATTTAACAACAACTCAAAAAATAGCCTATGTCATGTTATAATCAATTATGGTAACTGCTAGAAAGAAAATAACCCTATATGTGTTATTGACAAAGCGTGGCTGGATATTCGCCTGGTTCTTTTTTTTATGGACCAGGAAAAATTCGAGGCTAATATCCAGTCATCTTCACCAAATAAACCTGGTCAATTCAACTCAAGTCAACTAATTTCTCGTCTCGTTTTCCGTGAAATAAAACCTTTTCATATCACTTTGTTTTTGAATTTTTTTATTTTCCGGTTCTTTTAGCACAATAACTCCTGAAAATCGTTTATGTTTTCTTTGTTTTGACCGTCTTTTGTCGTTTTTTTGCGACTCCATTGACGAAATTGTCCAAAAATTACGAACTTTCTAATTCCGCTCCACATAATTTTTCCCTTGCATCACAGCGGGCAATCGCTCGCGTAGCCAATCAGAACCCACGACTCGCTATCAAATATCAAATTTAATGTATTTTACCTGTTTGACCGTACTTTGTGAATTGCCTACAGAAAAAGGAAATTGATTTAAGGCTAATATCAAAATGCTACCACTTTCACTCCATTTAACTCTAAGCATTTCCCCTATTATTTCATATTTTCCTGTTTTTACTCTCCAGCTTAATCACACCGTCTACAAAAATGAATAATTTTACCTTGTCAAAATCATAGTGATAGTAACGATATTTACATACGTTCTTGAAACGCTATTAAAGGCACTTTAAAAAAAATCTTTAGTTATCAACTTATATCTTGATGAAAGGTACCCGTTCATTCAAAACCTACTGGTTTGTCTGAGGCTCCTCTACCACTGATCTCAGTGACTCTAAAGCATGTATTTCTACAGTATGGCCGTATTTTAAATGTCAACAACTGGAAAATTGCCATTGAAAGTGGTCACCCATGAATAATATTTATAATAATTTGTCTTAGTATCAATGATGTATGTCAGAGAAATAGGCCTACATGTATATGAATTTTATTTATAGAAAGTTGAGCTGATCTGAATAAAAAAAACATCTAAATGGTCACTTTTAGTACTTGAATTTCAGCTTAGAATTAATGAGAAAACATCTAAATACTTTAGTTCTTTCTGTGGGTGAGCATGGCTCCACACCCCTCTATCAATAATAACACACCTCCTCTGCCTCAATTCTATCAGAATATACAAGGTAGCAAGCAATGAGTACTCCTGTTCTGCCTGTAGAAATATTAATAGAGTTACCTCATTACACCTAAACCTTTCTCTTGTATATGTCAATTGACCTTATGATATTGATCCCAAAAATTTCCTTACTTCCATAAACCTCTGGTCAGAGGTTTTACAATGGGGGGGGGGGGGGGGAAATATCAAGTCCATTTGTTAAGAGTGCAATATATTTCAGCAATATAAGGATTTCCACGTTGCTTTGTTAAATATTTGGTTCTCTTTGTTTCGATGTGCAGTACACATGTCCCTTGTTTCAAGGAAAAAAGTTTGCCTTGGTAAAATTTGTGTTTGGCCTCTACAAAAAGACATTCTTCACAATTTTCATTCTGTAGAAGAAAAAATGTGTTGGCTATCCCTCTAACTCACTTATGGAGCTTTCATTTAATAAAACGTAATTAAAAACATTTTTCTCTAACAGTAGGTTCTGTCTCATAAGCAAGCAGTTTTGGTGAAATTTTCAGTTTTTGACTGGATACAGAAAAGTTCTAAGGCTCTAAAATTCTTAAGTTCTATAGTTAAGGTTGCATCTTTTAAACACTGGCATCCTCTAACATGTAACTCAAAATGCATGTACTGTATCCATTATTTTATCTATCTATATTCTCACTATATGATTAAAATCAGAATGTACATCTTTAAGAAACAGTCTAAAGGTATGTTACCAACCCAGTCCAGCATGACAATGAATTGCAACCTGAAATTTCAAATAAAAAAAGAGAAAAAAAATCCAACCACAATCAATCAAATTTGGAGAAGATTATTTACAAATACCTCATGTCTTTTACAAGTGTAACTAAGGACAAGAGGCCTCAAAACTTGGATTACTTAACATTTCAAAGCAATGGTACTACAACAACTTGCTGCTAAGTTGTGATTGTTACAACTGGCATCTACTCCTAGTGCACAATTTTACATGAACAAAGCTTAACTGAAATACCCATATATACAGGTACATGTATCTTTCAGTATGAAACCATGATAAATAGGCTTAAAGATGGGAGATTCCTCTTTTGATCACACAGTACATTAAACATATGGTATCTAAGCCTATTTTTTTTACCTAATTAAATAATTATGCAACTTTTTTTGTTTCTTTCAGTGGTCACAGGAAACATAAAAACTATCCTACAAAAACAAGACTTTGCTCAAATAATATGCAATCCATTTTCTTTGAAATGATGTGATAATGTTATTTGAAACTTCTTAAAATCGTCCTACTTTAACTTTAGCAGTCATTATCATGGCACAAGATTGCTTGATTTGTTAAAAACAAAATAATGTATGAAGTTCACACTGCTCAAGGTATTTAATTTTTTCTGATAATTTCAAGATTAAGTCAACACAAGACAGCTGTTTTATCTCAAAGAAAGAGTGTAGAAGCTCTGTGTCAAAGCACACAATTTGCACAACCCTTTTTGGTAAGCTAACCAGTAAAGTATAGAAAGGACACCAACCACTTGTGAACCATTCCAAAACCAACACTGAGTTTTCTACAGTTTGTTTTAATCAGAATTATTTTTGAACACAATTTTGGTCATGCATTGCAAGAATATCAATGATATTAGATTGTAGTATAACAAACTGTTGTAGTGACATAGTGAGCTTTTTTTATAGTTTGCCACTTGAATGTTCACAGTGGTGTAACAAAAAGCTTAAGAGAATCTGAGGTGTAAATGGATGCATGAAGTAAGGTATTAACTTGTATCGGTATTAAGTTAAGGTTCTGAGGTGAATAGCCCACCTTTCCTTCCTTAAGAGCAAATGACATAACCTTCACCATGTCCAAAATAGACTCAAGTGATCGAACACCATAGTCATTCCTGTAAATGAACAATGATTAGGTGACTCCAGTAAATCTGTACCCACAAAACAGAGGGGCATCATGTCACAAAGTGTAATAACTGATACAAAATGTAAGGGTTGAGCAAAAGGTAATCCTAAAAAGATAAAACTGTTTTCAGCAGCCAACAAGAATTTTTTTAAAAGATTTACTAAAATACTGGGCTAAGAGGATCAAGGCCATTTTTTTTGGCTGCACTTTTCAAGTGAGTGGAGGCCAAAGTGAGGCAAGTGCTAGGAGAAGGTGAAAGATGAGAATGTACAGAATGCACACCATTTCCCTTGCTCTTTGGTCTTCAGCCACCACCAACATCAGTCTTTCCCATTCAAAGTGTTGAAAACTGTTTATAGTTCTTTTATGATTTTGATGTTATTTCCTAATCATAGGCTTTCTCACAAATTTGCAAAATGTTTGCAGGCTTGTTCAAAACCTCTGATCTGGCTCTGAGTTTAGGGTTGTAAAAATCAGTCAAAAAGCTGTGGAACTAAAATAGCCAAAATAACTCATGGCCATCCCAGTATCACAATGGAGAAAATGCCCGTTCTTCTGGCTAACCAAAAACATTTAAAGTATGCTGGCAAGAAATAACAGTTAGCAGATATTTTTCCCTTGTTTTGCATTCATATTTCTAACATATTTGGGCTAGATGGAGGGCTCCTCAGAGAGCTTGGTCCAATAAACAAAAACCAAATGTGACCATGTGATGACCAAATGATGTTACAACCAAATTGGATAGCTGTCTTTACAAATAAATGCCAGAAAGTGTGAACAATGGTCTACATGTCTTGCCCCTCATGCTTACCTCACATGTCTCTAGGCAACACCTGTTGCACAAGGTACATTTAGCTTGTATATTTTTTAATTACATGTGGACTAGTTATCAATAAAGTATAAAAGACAACACTCACCATCCAAAATTGTAGAAGAAAACTTGTTTTCAAAATGAAAGCCATAAGGAAAATAATAAATCAGCCAATGTTAATAATTATTAGCTATTTCAAATAAAAAAATCATAATTAACTATTCTAAGATTTGAGGTGTTAATTTATCTGTTATCTCAATAAGTTTTCATGAGTTAAATCACATCAATGTATGCATTAAGTGTCACTGCACCTCAACTTTTGGTGTTAGTGACCACAACATAAAATATGTTATAATTGTCTGCCAAACTTAGCAGCATCAGCAAACAGCATCACAAACTACTTTTCAGAGTTCCAAAGTCACATCAGAATAATAAATAAAATGAGTAGTTCAATCAGACAAAGTGAAAAGGCACTGTAAAAGTTTTACCAGACTGCTGTACAATGAAATACACTACCACTGATGCAACCTGGGTGCAAGCCAAGCTCTGTTGTGTTTATCAAATACATTTACATAATTATTCTTAACACAACAAAGGTTAATTTCTTACATTTCAGAATCAAATCACTATATACATGTATGGATTAAAAGCTCTATCTAATTAAAACCTTTCAGAATAATAGCCATAGGAAATTTGAGAGAATATTTCACAGAGTGGGTATACATGTAAGGTGACAAAGTCCCCTTGATGTTTTTAGACTTTTGTAAAGTGTTCCACCTTTACTTATTTATTTATGATGCTTGCCTCCGTAGAAAAACATTGTTCTTAGTTTCTGTTCCTTGGTTTTAATGCTTCATTATGAAGAATTAACATATTCCAAAAACATGTTTTTTTTGTGAGACTGTAGGCTTAGGGTGCTTATCACTTAGAAATAGGTGAGTTTTCCGTCAATGAACTACATTCACACATTTCAATATTGCAATGATACCATGGGTTTCATTGGATCATTTTCTCTACAACTTAAGGTATCACAGAAGGAAAATTAGTGTTTTCATTTAAACTGAGATAGCAAGAAAATTATGTGCACTATCATTGTAAAAGTATATCTTTACTTAAAGCTTAGTAAACACTGATTTCAGATATATAATTTAATTTACTACTAAATAGAATGGTTGCCTATTCTTTCACACTGAGAGGTTTAACAAAATAAGTTTAATTATATACAAAAGAATTTTAATCATCTCGTTTCTTCTTGGTTATTACAATGTGATCGGCACATACTCTACTGAAAAAGGGCGTCTGAGATTTGTATTTTAACGCCTTGTTATTTTAAAAGCTAAAATAGTGACACTACAGGAATGTGTCAAGAGAAAACAGGATTCATTAACTGAATAAGTGGGAGCAGTACATACTGTCATCTTTCATGAAGTCTTCTGGATCATAAGAAAAGCCACTAACAGGATCAATACCAAAGCCACAACTGACATGTTCTCCTGGATGCTGAAGGTTTATCAATGATTTAATTCCCATCCTTTTTGGAGAAAGCATACAAATCAAATGATAAAGTACACCTACTACGAAACTGTCAATACACACTTGTATAGAAAATGTCTCTCATCATATACAAAACAGATAGGAATACTACCATGGAAAGGAAATCAAATTGTGTGAACTGGGTGAAAATCTCCATCAGAGTCACATTAACAATTTTCCATTAATTTTTTCAGTCTAGTCGGTTGGTATTGCTATGGGGATTCTGCTGTAACCAAATAGTTCATAATAAAAAAGGAGAACCACAAAAATTATTTTAATTTCAATTAAACAAATTAGACGTTTAATACAAGTTTATTTTAAAAAATGTAAATTTGCCCTTCACTTTTCTTAAAACAAATTTACCTATTTTAAACTTTACATGTGCTGTGATATTTACAAAAGTTAAATATATATGCTGTACCTGGAAAACTGTTCAATGACAGCATATGTCCTCATAACTTCAGTAGATGGACGAGCAGTGGCTAAAATGTCTGGAGTTACCCTGTAAAAGAGTATGACAAATAGCATACAAAATAAATCACTGTGAGAACAACAATGGACGAAAAGGGTTTCAGTGGAATTAAATTTCTTCTGTACAAAATTGAAAATTAAGGGTACATGATTTCTAAGTAAAATTTATATACTTTGGGCTAAATTAGGATTACTCTACAGTAGGTAATTTAGTGTTAACAACTGGGTTGAAAATGTAAATTAGCCACCGTAAAGAGTAAAAAAGCTGACGTTTCGAGCGTTAGCCCTTCGCCAATCGCTCTGACGAAGGGCTAACGCTCGAAACGTCAGCTTTTTTACTCTTTACGGTGGCTAATTTACGTTTTCAACCCAGTTGTTAACACTAAATTACCTGCTATACTCTCCCACCGACGCAGCACCACAGTTTCTTTAGAAACTTACCCCTTTACTCTACAGTAATCTCATTTGTATGTTGCAATTAGACAATTGTTGTAAGCTAGTTCAGAGTAGAGACTGTATTCAAATGCAACATAACCATTAACTCTAAACAGTCATGTAACCATGACCCTTACTAACAAATTATGACAAAAATTATTGCCAGAGCCAGAAGCAAAGATCCAAACCATTACAAGACCAAATGAATAAAGGGGGTTAGTTTCAAAAGAAACTTTGGTGCTGCATTGGTAGGAGAGTATAACAAGGTAATTTAGTATTATCAACTGAGTTGATAACATAAATTGGCCACTGTAGAGAATTTAAATGCTGACGTTTTGAGTGTTAGCCCTTCATGAGAGAGCTAAGGAAGGGTTAACACTAAAAACGCCAGCTTTTTAACTCTTTACAGTGGCCAATTTACTCTATAAATGCAGTTGATAACACAAAATTACCACATTACAAGGCCAGTTTTCAGGGCCTCCATATGCTTTACAACTGAGTCAATCTATGTGTGATTGCTCTGACGAATAATGCTCAAAAATCAGCTTTGAAACTGTCAACTGAGAGTTGATAATTCCAAATTATCCTATGTGTGATTTCGTTTGTTTATTCTTTCTACAACTCCAGGGGGTATCTTTGGAAATTATGAACATCCTTGGAAGACTTTGAGTGATGAGAAAAGACCTCCGCAGAAAATATCGTGCCTTTGAGTCAAAGAAAGCCCTGTACATGTAGATCTGCCTCAGAATATCAAAGGTCGACCACTTGGAGGGGCTGATGACGAAATCAATGAGTTATGACACTTGAGAATTCTAGAGCTGCATAGATTATTTTCCGCCGTCCAATAGAAAATTACTCATCTTGACGATTACCATAAATTTATATCGATAAATATTTCATGAGAAGATACTATCTTGCGTTGAATGTAAAGACCTTTTTATAACAGAAATATACCCATTTACATATTTAGACCCTAACTGCACTCTCAACTATATTTCCTCACAGCTATAAGCATACTCACGGTGCCTGTAACAAGTCGTTATTAGTCTACAAGTTGTTCTCAGCGATCCCATACTTCACCAAAAAAATAGATCTTCACTCTTTCAGCTTAACTAGTAACAGTTAAAGCTTACCACGAGGAATAGAGTCCTTGAATCGCCATTTCTTCGCTTCTAAACTTGGCAGGGTTTTCATACTTGCACTGTTTTCCGCCGCAAAACATTGAACACTGTAAAGCACCCGGTGCAACGTGCCGAAAGTGCTCCGAAATACGCGAATATTTTGGCCTAGCATCCTTCTTTGGAAGATCAGAGTTGTTTAAAGTCCATTTTACTTTTCCAGAAGAATTAGCTTCGCCTGTATCCATCACATGTTTACTCATAAAAGGCTAGACAGAGTGATAACACAAATCTTGTGCTCTATTACATTGACATGTTCCGGCTGTGCTCCATCAGTTACTAAGGTAACTGAGAAAGATACCAGCTCAAAGGCGAAACTTCGACCGCGCATGCTTAAACTACTGACTAATTGAAGCAACAACAGACGAACTTTCGTAACTTTGAGATGAAATTCACCTCGAGATTTGAGGCTTTTGGTCGGGGTAAGCACTTTTTGAAATACATACTAGGATGTAATAAAATTTTGTTAACAAGGTTAATATATAATGGAAGTTTCGATCAAATATAACCTTCTTGTGAATAGCGTTTAGATGTAAGTATTGTTCACAGCCATGATGATTATGAACCCTAAAGTAAGCATTAAAAATTCGTAAGCTTGCGCGAGAGGTCGTATTTTTCCTTTATAATTGGTCTTCCAGTGTTATCAATATGCTAGACTTAGAGGATCAATAATTTTTTTTGGAAAAAAGTGTCGTGTTGCTGGCGTGATATTGATGCTGTCAAAATCACAAAAAAGATTCAATTTTGCTGTGCCTTAGTTCACAGAGTAGGGAGTCATATTTGACTATATTTCCAAATAGACACACCCAACTAGTTGACTGACTGTCAATACTGGTGATTACACCATACACTTATAATCCTCACTAATTCTATTGTGGCAATGGTCAACTCAAAAGCTTTGGCCACTCCTCTCTTTCTTTCGCATTTCTTAGGCATTTTTTGTTAATGAAGTGAAAGTTAGCTGACAGCTGACTTTTTGGAAGAGCCTTTGGTGAAAATTCCCATCCCAAGCCATGAAAAATGAGTATACTCAAATCAAATTCCCTCTCCTTGGACAAACAATATTGATTTAAGCATTAGAGTTGTATTTATTTCAGGAACAATTGATACACATTTTGAAAATGTTCTGAAGGAAATGGTGTGATCAAAGCTACTGTTCCATTGTCTGTTATTGTATGGTTTTGTGTAGTTATTACAGAACTAAAACTTATTGTGTTAACATTGTAGAGTTGATCGGACAAAGAATTTTCAGTTATGGGACCTTCTCCAAGGCTAGAGGAGTACTGAACCATCTGGCTGGTGTCAGTGAAAACAAAGTGCGTGGAGTGCAATCCTGTGGATCCCCAAATTTATCTTCTGGTAAGTTTGGAGCAGTAATAATGAAAACAACAGCATCAGCCCAAGATACTCCTGTTACAGTAATCCTTGGATGGAATAGCTCCAGAGGAAAACATCTTAAAAAGTACAGCAAGATATTTGAAGACAAGTCCTTTGACACCATCTGTGTTCCAGCAAAACCAGTCAACACATTTCTTAGACCAGGAACCAAGGTTAAAACAATTGGTCTTTACATTTTGGATCTTTTGGTTGACCTTAACTGTCAAAAGAGGCCTGTGTTCCTCTATGCATTCAGCAATGGCGGCTGTGCTTTGTTTTTTCATATTATGGAAGTCCTCTCATATCCGACTACAGCATACTATCAGGCAGTACCAGTTGTTGGGACAATCTTTGATAGCTGTCCCATTAATCCAGACATTAAAAGTTTGCAAGCCACAAGAGAGAGTGTTACTGACATGATCAAAAATCCAATCATGAAAGCAGCATTATGGTACAGCATGACTGCCTTTATTCCTCCTGTTATCTACTTAAATGGCACTGTGAAACGTTTCATGTCAGGTATGATAGAATCTCCACTTCTATGCCCACAGTTGATTTTGTACTCGAAGACAGACAAGTTTGCTCCATACCAGGACATTGATTCCTATATTCAAGCAAGGAGACACAAGGGCATTCATGTTACATCCAAATGCTGGAACAGCTCAGAACATGTTAATCATTACAGAGAACATACTGACGAGTACTTACAGGAACTTAATGCTTTCACTGATTTTTGCTTAACTTCATACCATGATCAGAAAAAGTGAATTTTCATCGTTAGGTAAATCACACCCAATAGTAGCCAACACAGTGATTTCTCAAGTTTCCTTTCAGTATCCGACATGAAGTTGGCTTGCGGGTGGCCCCAAAAAACAGAGTAACTATGTTTGAAATGTGGGGTTTTCAATTGCTTAAATATTGGGAATGACTATACAATGAATGCATTTTAATAATTATTATTATCCTTGGTATTAAAGTTCTCTGGGGTGAGTTACAATGTTAATTACCATATTTTAACATCCTACTGGCAAGATGATGTAGGCATGCTTAGTGCCCTGCTCTGCTCTGGAGCTATGCAGGTATGAAGGTCACATTGTGATTTCTTTGGGTTGGGTTGCTAAAAAATGTGCAAGAGACAAGTCACCTGAAATGAGTTAACACCTGAGGTTGGGTTAGGATTTTTTCAATTAATTTCTCTGAGGCCTTTGATTCCGTGAACCACTTTATTTGATAAGTTTTTAAGAGTTTTTTACCAATCCTTGCATTGTGAAGTGATGCAACCATCTTTTAAGAAAAAACTCAATAAAGTCTACAAAGCTCGGTATGAAGTGAACTTCTCGTCAGAAAAAACAGCTTCATAACTCTGCTTAAAACTTTAAAGGCCATTGAATGGAAAAATCGCTGAAACACTTTCTCGTCGGAACAAATTAAAATACTTCACTATCAGAACCAACAGAGTCATGTACAATGAGGAGGGTGACAGTATTAACAAATGGTAAAACTGTAGCGCCACCGTACACAGTTGACTCCTACAGGACTTTCAGTCCCTCTACACGACTCCAATAAAAACATACGGAGTCATACGGTAACGAGGGTGGAAGTACTACAAAGTAAGTCTTGGTGTAAAATAACTTTGATTTGTAGCCAAGCAACTTCTGATTTGTGGCAAAACGACTTCGACATGAAGCTAAATGACTTTGTAGTGAAAAAAAAACATCAAGATACAACAGCTGATACTTTTAGCTAGCGGGCAACTTTTCTGAAATTTCTTGATAGTGTCCTTATCACAGCCTACTCAACCTACTGGTCGCCTTACACTCTCGGTGGTCTGCACGGGGATAAAGCTTCGACAGGTGAAAGTTTATTTGTTTTTCCAATTTGACGGTCGACGGTTACTTTTTTAGGACCTTTGACGGTCAACGGTTAAATTTCAGTGCCTGTGATGGTTGAAACTCACTGTAAGATATATTTCTATGCGTTAAAATTCATATTAAGTTTCTCTGTTTTTATTATTATCATTATTATTTTGAATAATGAATGTTACTTCAGTATCTCGCACACTTATCAGAGTCTTTTTCATTGGATTACTATGTTAGTATCTTGCACACCTTTAGCATCCTATTTCATTGGATTTTTACGTTAATTTCTCGCGCACTTTTACGATTCTCCTTCGTTGAATTGTTGTCCTAGTATCTCGCACACTTTTAGGATTCTCCTTTATTCGAAAGTTGCGTTTTTACCTTGTGCATTTTAGGATTGACCTATATTCGATATAATAGTATAATAGTATCTCCTAAACTTTTAGAATTCTCTTTCATTCGATTGTAACATTGGTGTCTCACACATTGGAATGTAAAGTTAATATCTCCCCCCCTTTTTAGGAATCTCTTTCATTGCATTGTTTCCTTGGTATCTCGAGCACATTTAACGTTCTCTTTCATTAGATTGTTAAGTTGGTATTTCACGTATTTTTAAGATACTCTTTCATTTAAAAGTTACGTTGATATCTAGCGCATTTTAAGATTGGCTAACATTCGATTGTGGTTAGAATCTTGTGCACTTTTAGGATTTTCTTTCGTGTGATTTTTACGTTAGTATCCCGCGCAACTTTTGGATTCTTCATTAGTACCTCGTGTACTTTTAGGATTCTCTTTCATTACACTTTTACGTCAGTATCTCGCTGTACTTTTAGAAATCTCTTTCAATCGAGTGTTACGTGCTGGTCTTTACGCACTTTTAGGGTTGTCTTTCATCCGATTATTACGTTAATCAAAACTATAACAAAGTTCTTTAACGTGATTGGTTATCACCAGCCCGATTTGAGCACGAATAGGACAGTGTGTGCGTGTAATTGGAGAATGTAATAGGAGAGTTAAAGGGAAAGGGTTATTTAATGTTATCAACTGAGTTGAAAAGGTAAATTGGCCACTGTAAAGAGTTTATAAGCTGATGTTTCGAGCGTTAGCCCTTCGTCAGAACGATTGACGAAGGGCTAACGCTCGAAACGTCAGCCTTTACACTCTTTACGGTTGCCAATTTACGTTTTCAACTCAGTTGTTAACTCTAAATTACCCTGTTATACTCTCCCACCGACGCAGCACCACAGTTTCTTCAGAAACTTACCCCCTTTATTGAGTCAAAGGAACAGTTGATACGTCATGCCTGTGTAAGTTGACAGAACGCGTCATGTGCACGCACTTGTCTCACATTTTGCTAAGTTAACTGTTGTTTTTTATGAAAACGTACAACTGATATCTAGTTTCTTTCTCAAATTCTGTCATAGTTTTGATTAATTGGTAACAGGACTTCGTGTCGTCCAATTCTGTAATCATAATCGTGATTGACAAATCGGGCTCCCGCCTCGCGGTCGTCTGATTTTGATTGGACTCCACTCGGTCCTATTACAATTATGAATCAAAACTATAACAAAAACCTCGAAAGTGATTGTTAATCACCTGCCCAATTTCCAATGGAAGCATCTTGCACACTGGTATTCTCTTTTATTGGGTTGTTATGTTGGGATCTCGGGCATCTTAGAATTGACTCATATTCCATTGTCATGTTTGTATCTCGGGCACTTTTAGGATTCTTCCTCGTTACATTGTAATATCATCATCTCACACACTTTTATTCTCTTTCACTGGATTGTTACAATACTACCTCGCGGAATTTTAAGATTCTCTTTCATTCGATTGTCTCGGGCACTTTAGGATTCTCTTAGAATGTTACGTTATGTTCCTGCGCGCCAGGATACTCCTTCATTCGAGAATTACTTTCTTATCTCATGCGCTTTAGGATTGCGTTACATTACATTATTATCAATATACGCGGCCAAATAGAAAATCGGCCT